GCAGCTAGAGAGGAGGAGTCCCAGGCTCCACTGGGGTCTGGGTACAGGCTGGTTTCTTCCCGCGGCTCACACTGCCCCAAGTCCCCAGACCCTGGGCCAGACAGTCCCATGTGTGGCCACAGACAAGGGGTGGTTTGACATTCCTTGGGACCCAGAAGGGGCCATCAGTCCCAGGCTCCAGGCCCTGCCTAGTAGTCGGGTCACAGAGCCCCGTGCCCCTGTCTGCAGGCAGGCCCGCTGAGCCCTTCCAGGCCACCACATAGGCCCCCCCAGGCTGCACCCAGGACCCACTGAGTGAATGAGCCCTGGGCACGGAGCCTGCAACCCAGCACCATTGGTAAAGGGCCCAACTGAGGCAGAGGCTGGGCTTTGTGTCACATCCATCCCCAGGGGTTGGGTAGGGCTAGGGAAGGCCTCCGCTCTCAGTGCCACGTGGCAAGGAGCAAGGCCTCTGGGCCCTCACTGGCGGCACCGAGGAACCAGGCTGCGACAGAGGTGGCAGAGTCCAGGGCAGGTGGTGTGGGCTGTGGGGTCTTGGGGTCAGGCAAAAACAAGCAGATGGTGGCTGAGGGCGACACTTCCCTGGGGCGGCCAGTGTCAGAGCCCATGAGACCACATGGCCAGGACAGGAGGTGCAGGGACCGGGACACAAAACCCACGGGGTCCCGGGGTACAGGCCACGTGTGTGCGCTGTCCTTTGTGTGTGCGTCTGTGTGCTCCCACACGTGTGTGCATGTGGGGGGGGGGTCGAGGTCTGTGCATTTGCATGTCTCAGCCTACGCACGTGGCCATGTCTACACGCACACACGTGTCTGTTCCTGTCACCCAGACCTTTGCTTGCCTGCCTGCGTGTGTGCATCCTCACGGGATGCACTAGGCCACCCTAGGAGCCAGCTATAAATAGGAAACTGGGCGGGGGGCGCTTTCAGACAGTCACGGGCTGCAGAAGACAGGGCTAGGAGAGGCTGGGGGCTGCAGACTGCAGACGGAAGTGGGGTGCCCCCAATACAGAGTAGCCCTGGGGCCCACCTAGGGCCAGCGGCTGGGAGGTGGATTCCTGAGACCCTTAACCAGCTGCAGGGCAAGGGGGCAGCTGTGTGGTGTGTGTGCATGTTCGGGGTATAGGGACCCTTGCAGGCACAGAGGACAAAACTCAACTGGGTGCTCTGTGTGGGGGCTGGGGGCCTGGAATGGCGCTGCCCCCAGAGGCTGCTGGGGCAGAGGTACAGCAAGGGTGGGCTGGGGTACGGTGCTGGGAGGGATCTCCCAGGCCTCGGCCAGGAGCTGGGGTGGCTTCTGCCCAGCCCTGGGAGTCGCCACGAGCGCGGAGTACTGCTGCTGCCGGTGAGGGCGTGGGAGAGTGGCCTCCGGCCAGGGACAGCTGCTGTGGTGGGGCGGCCACGCAGGGGACCAGTGCGGGGGGGTATGTCCAGTGCACACGGGTTCCGCGTGCATGGAGCGTGTGCATGTCTGTGTTCGTGATGAGGGTGTGCACGTGAAGCATGTGGGTGAGGCCCTGTCCCTCCCAGCGCAGCCCCTTCACGAGTCTCCCTCTGGTCCTCCTGACACCCTCTAGGCTGCCTGCACCTGCCTCGATGTCCCAGCCCACCCCTGCAGTACGCAAACCCAACCCCCACCTCCTCCCTTCCTCTGGCACTCAGAAGTGGACCAGCTCCCGTACTGCTGAGCTTGCTGTAGCTCCCTCTGGGCTCTGGGCCAGGGCGGTCACTGTGGTCCCTGCTGGGGTCCCTGTCGGCCGGGCACAGAGAAGGGACTCTCAGGCTGAATGAAGTAACCAAGGAATGAATGCCTGTGGGGTGGGGGTTGGGCTGCGAAGGGGGGCGGGGTGGGTGGAGGCTCCAAGGATGTACGATTCCATCAGAAAGATGTCTCCTGGGACCTCTGCAGGGAGGGCAGAGCATGGGCCGTGGGAGCCGAGCGGCTGAGGCGAGGGCGCCACCACGGCCCCCCTTGAACATCCAGGCCGAGGGTGTGGGTCACCCCTCTCAGGGGGTGCGGGGCTCAGGGGCTGAAGCCTGGGCACTGTGGTTACCCCCACCCCCGGCCCGTGCCCGGGGCTGCCCTGCCAGCTTCCTCTCAGCCCTCCTGCCCAGGCGGCTCCAAGCTACCGCAGCTCCCACGCACCTGCACGTCCTGCGCACTCACAGTCCCGCAGACACCCAGACGACCCTCTCTCCCCAGCCCCAGCCTGACGGCTCAGCCCCTCTGGGGGAGGTCTGGATCCCCTGCGCCCGCCAGGGGAGGGCCGAGCAGAGCCCGCTGACAGCGAGTCGGAAGCCGGACGTGCTTTCCCCAAATGGGCTTTTCCCCCAGGAAAAGATCTGCCTCTAAACACAAAAAGTAGCGCTCCTCCTTCCTCCCTTCCTCCCTCCCACAATGAATTCTCGGTGTCCAGGCTCATTCTCTCCGGGGCAAAAGAAGGAAAGGGGCAGGGTGGGGGAGGAAGGAAGGAAAGAGAGAGAAGGAGGGAAACAAGGTAGAACGGGCAGCAACGCCAAGCCCAGCTCGGCGGAGAAACCCCCGAGGGCGGCAGCCGGGGGTGGCCGTGGTGGGGCCCAATCCAGGTTCTTGCGGGCTGGGCTCCAGGAGGCCTGGCGGGCTGGAGAGAGGGGGCGAGCGCAGCCCGCAGCCTACCACTGCCTCCTCAAAGAGACAGCCTCCGGGCCCCGCGGCCCCGTGCTGCCCTCGATGGGCCCGGCCGCCCGGTCCTCCAGCCGGCTTTCTCTGCCGGGACAAGACTCCTAGGTGTCTCTTCCGGTGGCAACAGTGAAAACTAAGGTGTCCTTGTCAAAAACCAGCCAGCAGACCCCGCCCATACCCCAAAGGACACCCGCCGCGTCTGGTGATCCTCTTGAGTCCTCAGGGCGGGTGGCGGGGGAGGCCCTTACCGAGGCTGGCTGCCCCTAGTCGTGCTGCAGCCTCCCCACCTGGTCCTTGAGCTCATCCCTGCACCCCCCCATTTCTACTTCTCTCTGCACCAGCGTTTTTGCCCCCCAGATGTACAGCCTCTTGCTCCCCTCCTGAGGGCTCGAGATCTCAGCCCCTGGGTTTGGGGATTTTGCTCAAACCCCCACAGAGACCCAACCATCTTGTTACCAGTTTTGTTCTAAAGCAAAAGGGGAGGTGGCAGCCCCCACCTTTTCTCTGGGTCAGACTGAGGCGGTAAGACAAGTTCAGGCCACGCACTCAGAGAACGGCAGCCGTCCCAACCCCGAGGACGAGCCTTTGCTGTCTCCAGACTGAAAAGCAGCGCATAGCTGGCCGGCCCGCAAAGCTCATCCCTCTAAATATGCACACCGTGGACCTTCATCAGCCTTGGTCCCATGGTCCCCTAAGTCCTGCAACTGCCCTGGGACCCTTTAGGGTGTGAGATTTCCAGAGGTCCTGCTCCTCCCTGGTGCCCCCGCAACCTGGTCTTGGACCCTTTAGAAGACAGAGGCCGGGCCACCCCTTTGGGGGGGCAGACCACGAAGAACTGGGGACAAGTACCGGCCACCAGCACACATGGGCCTTGCACGTGGCATCACCACCATCCCGCCTTAGAGGGAGCCTGGGGCCACCACCTTGAGGCCTTCCTCCCCACCAGGCAGCCAGGGAAGGTGCCTGCAGATCCCACCAGCTGACCGCAGCCTTGTTTACAACTCTGATCAGGGCCTCTCCGGTGGCCCAGGTGGGTCACCCACAGCTAAGGCAGGGCCCTGGGCACGCACCTCCTTTTCTTCCTATTCGGGGAGAAACGGCAAAAATGAAAGCCACAGAAAAACCAACCAAGCTCCAGTGACTTTGGATCTAAACGGATTTATTTTGTGTTTTTTTTCCCCCTTTTTTCCGGCTTCATAGCAAATGAAAAAATTATCCAACAAAACCCAACAACACAAGAAAACTTTCAACGACTTAGAGCATCTCCTGCTCAGAGGGCCGGGCAGGAGCAGGCCTGGAAAGAGCACAGGACCCACTGGAGGCCAGGGGCCTGGCCGTCCTGCAGGGATCGGCTGGCCAGGGGCTGCGCTACCTTCTCCCCACTGGCTAGTCCAAAAAGCCACTGGGCTTAAAAAAAAAAAAAAAAAATCCACAAACAAAACGAAACAATTTAAATGAAAATAAAAACACTTTCTTCACTCGCCCCCATGCCAGGAGGTTCAGATTGAAACCTCCTCTTAAAAAAAAAAAAATTTTTTTTTTGCTAGAAATACTGTGCATTACTTTTTTTTTTCTTCCACTTCTCTTGAAGATTAAAATAAGATATATTTCCCCGGGAGTCATAAATACGATCTGGTGCATAGAGAAATAGCAGCAGGGGAGTCCGGGTCAGCCCCCACCCGCAGAGCGCGGCGACCCCCCCAACCCCCCTCCCCCCCTTAGTATAGTAGGGCAGCAGGACCGAACACAGCATAGATAATATTCCTTGGCTTCAATCTCTAGGGGACGCCGGTGGCAGGGTGGGGGGCAGGCGGGCAGGAGGGCAGGCAGGGACCGGACCCCTCTGAGCGAGCGACACATGCTGGGACACGCGGACGTCCGAGGGTGGACCCCGGCCGGGAACGAGGGAGCTTCCTCCGGGGTTTTCTTTCCTAATCACCGAGCAAAATAAATAGAAATACTTCGAAAATAAGGTCGCTTTAAAAAGGAGTAGTAAAAACGGGCAAGGAAGGGGAAGCCGCGAGAAGGACGACGGACCGGGGAGAGGCGGGCGGGCGGCGTCGGAGCGGAGGACCCCGCTGGGCATATGTACAGGCAGACTCCGGGGAGGAAGTTCGCTCCGGCTCAACTTTCCCGGGAACCCCCGCGCTCCGTGCGCAGAGGGGTCGCGGCCACGTCCGGACGGCGAGCCAGGAAGGCGCGGGGCGCCGCGGCCGGCCGCGCGGTGGGCAGGGGCCTCCAGTCCCGCGCCTGCGGACCTTGCGGCGGGGCGCGCGGGGCCCGCCCGCCCGCGGAGTCCGAGCGTCTGCCCGGCGGCGGCGCACGCTCGGGGCGGGCGCTCACAGGAAGAAGTCGGGTGCGCCCTTGGCCCCGCCGGGCCCGGCCTGCGGCGGCGAGGACTCCCGCGGGAAGCCGGCCCCGCCCGCGCCCCCGGGGCCACCCCGGCCCGCCAGCTTCTCGTATTTCTCCTTGTACAGGTCCCGCTCCTTGGCCAGGCGCCCCACCTCCAGCCTCAGCTGCTCCACCTGGCTCTGGAGCTGGCACTTCTCGCTTTCCAGAATGTGCCGCTGCTGCACCCGCTTGAAGCGGCACGACTGCGCGTAGCCGCGGTTTTTGAGCGTGCGCCGCTTCTGCTTCAGCCGGATGACCTCCTCCTTACTGAAGCCGCGGAGCTGCCGGTTCAGCTCGCGCACCGACATGGACACCAGCTGGTCGTCGGAGAAGCGCTCCTCCAGGCGCACGTGGTGGCCCGCGCCGCCGCCGCCGTGGCCCGCGCCGGCGTGGTGGGCCGCGCCGGCGTGGTGGTGGTGGTGGTGGTGGTGGTGGGCGGCGTGGTGGTGGTGGGCAGCGTGGTGCGCGCCGTGATGGTGGCCGGCGCCCATGTCGTCCGCGCCGCCGCCGCCCCCGAAGCCCTGGCTCCGGAAAGCTTCGTACGCCGCCGCGGCCGCCGGGTGGTGCGCGCCGTGGTGCCCGGCGTGGTGGCCGCTGCCGATGAGCGCCTCCACCGCGTCCTCGGGCGTCAGGTTGAGCGCCTCGGGGTTGAGGTGGTGCTGGTAGCCGCTCATCCAGTACAGATCCTCCAGCGCCGGCTTCCCCGAGGCGCCCCCGACGGCGCCCGGGCCCCCGCTCGTCGGCCCCGGGGTGGCCCCGGCCTGCGCCGCGCCGCCGCCGCCGCCGCCCCCCGCGCCGCCGCCGCCGGTGCCCGGGCTGGGCGCGCAGAAGCTGGGCGAGGAGGGAACAGAAGAGCAGGGCGTGCTGAGCGGCGTCGAGGACAGCGAGCCGGGCGGCAGGCGGTGGCAGAAGCGCTCGGCCTCGGGCGGTTCCTTCTTCACCTCGAACTTCATCAGGTCGAAGTCGTTGACGTATTCGATGGCTAGCGGGCTGCTGGGCAGCTCGGCGCCCATCGCCAGCTCCGCGGCCATCGCCCGGGGCCCCGGCCCCGCCGCCGCGCCCGGCTGCGCCCCGACGGGAGGCGGCGGGGGGGGGGGGGGGCCGCGGGCCCCTCCCCCCCCTTCACTCCCCACCGGCTGCGGGTCTCGGCGAGGGGGCGGCGCCCAGACGCGCCGGGAAAAGTTTCGCGCGGCCAACTTAGGGGCGGCCGCGGGGGAGGCCGCGGGTCAGGGCTCTCGGGTGGCCCCGGCCGCACCCCAGGGGGCGCAGGCCGGCCGCGCTCCCTGTCCCCTCGTCGGCGGCCGGGCGGGTGACCGGGCGGGTGGCAGTGAGGCCGCCGCCTCGGGCTGCTCGGGCTCCCCGCGCTCCACCCGCGTCCAACCGGCCCCGCCTCCACGGCCGAGCGCCGCGCCGCACGCTCCCCTTTATAGAGCAGGGCGCTCGGGCCCGCCTCCCTGGGAGGGGCGCGGGCCCCCAGGCCAATCGGAGCCCCAGACCCGCCGCCCTCATTTGCCTATCCCCATGGCAACCCGGAGCCCAGCTGTCAATCTCCTGCGGGGAACAGCTGTGGGAAGGGGAGATGACCGGCAGCCTGCGAGAGGAGGGGGCAGGGCCCTCTGGTGGCCGCCGCGGAGGACTGCACGCGCGGAGGGCGCGGGGCAGAGGGGTGCGGAGAACGCGCAGCGCGGGGGTCACGGAGCCCGGCCTGCGGCCTCCAGGGCCCCGCGTCCGCGACGGGGAGGCCGCAGAGTCTCGCGGAGCTGACGGGGCCCCTCGGTGCCTCGGTGTCCCCGCCGCCCGGCGGGCCCTGACCCCGCAGCCTCGCTAGCGCGGCGGCGCCGGGAGCTTCCGGCCTGCCGACACCGGGGCCACGGCGCGGCGCGGCCGGGCGCGGCGAGGGGAGTGCCGGTTATTTTTAGCCCCGCGGTTCGGGCGGGTTCAGGAATTTAGTCAACAAAGTTGTTGGCACCTCCGTTCAGCGGCTCCACCGCGGGGCGCAGGTGGGGAGGGCGAAGCGCGCGGGCCGGCGGAGGCGGGGCGCCGGGGAGCCGAGGCGGGGGGCCGAGGGGCGCGCGGGTAGGAGAGACCGGCCCCGGCCAAGGGGCGTCGGGCGCGCACGCCTGTGCAGGGGCGCGCTCCCGGAGCAGGGGGCCCTGACACGACGCCTCCCGGGTGGACGGAGCTGGGAGGGGCCGCTTGCTTCAGCGTCACCCTGAGTGCTTGGTGCCCCCCCAATTTCTATACTGCTGTTATAGGACTTTTACAATTAACAAATTCAATCTTAAATATAACCGGCTGTGCATCGAAAGAAAATTCTGGAAGGACCTGGGCAGGAAGTCACTGGGGCAGCTTGTTTTTATCTTATTCCAGGCATAAATGCCTATTATCTTATAATCGCAAAAATTCATACAAGGTGGGAGGGAAACCCCATTTCCTAAGATGTCGCGGGGTGTCCCAGCCCCGCTCTGCCAGGAGGGCACCACTCACCCCTTCCTCCTGCCCCCACAACCCTCCCGGCTGGGCTCTGCTGGGCAGGCAGGGTCAGGTCCACCACGAGAACCCTCCTGCCCCTGCAGGGATGGCTCAGCCGGTGGCAGAAGCAAGGCCCCCAGCTGGCGCCTGGGCTCCAGGCTACATGGGTTGCCAGTCGCATTGCAGGGTTTGGGGCCCTTTAAGGCCCCCCACCCCGCGCTCAGAGGGAGGCCACAACTCAGCCACCAAGTCTAGCTAAGTGCGGACAGGCCCCCCTACATCCAGCCCCCAAGTGTGATATTCAAGGATGCTGGGCCCTGCCTTCGATCACACACAGATTGATTCATCTGGCACACAGCTCTTCATTTCCGCACCCACTCATTCATTCACTGCCCTGGGGAGGAGGTGGCCTGGGGCCAACAGGGCCCCTATGTCCCTGACAGGCTCAGGCACTGGCCTTGGGGTCGGACTAGCCAGCAGGCCTGCCCTCAGCTCTTGGCTGCTCGGGAGCCTCAGGCGCAGGAGACCCCGGGGAGGCCCCTGACCCTCAGCCTCTTGCTGCTTGTATGGGGGGGCAGCAAAGCAAGGTTTACTGAGTGAGGGTACAAAGCTCCCAAAGAGAGAGGGAACCCAAGAGGTTTGCCCCTCTTGCTGCCTTCTCTGTCTGCTCCCTGAAGCCTGAGGGGCCTCTGCAGAGCTCTCGCCAGTCAGGGGCCATCAGGCCAATGCCACTGTCCGCAGGCTCGGGAGGGGTCACCCCTGCGGCGCTATGCAGAGTGGGTGTGGTGGGCTTCTTGAGCCCAGGGAAGGTACTGGCCTTTCTGGGCTCAGGTGGCAGGCTCCAAGCCCGCTCCTTCCTCCTCAGCCGGGGCTGGGGAGTGGCATCCGTGAGGACCCAGAGAAAGCAGACAGGCTTGCCGTGTGCCCTCAGCCAGAGAAACGCCGTCCTCTGGGCTGCCCATGTGCAGCCAGAGGAGGAGCACCCTGATTCCGCGCTGCCCCAGAGAAGGCACATGCTCTTCCCGTGCAACCCCTGCATGCCAGTCAGTGCTTGAACCAACGGGATTCCACAGGGCCCACCCCGTGGCTCCTCTTAGATGCACCCCACAAATCTTTACTGAGTAGCTATAGCATTGCCCTGGGGGTGTCTTCCATCAGGAAGGTGACCCAGAGATCTCTGGTGGGAAATGAGCCAGCGGGAGCTTGAGGACATAATGCAGCTTTTCATTAGGCGCCTGGGCTCTGTGTTGGGGGGGTTTGTCCCGGGCTTGGGATGGCTCGTCTCTGAGCCCCACAGCTGGGAGGACGTGGAGGCAGGGGCGACGGGACGGCTGATGGCTGGAGCCACTGGTAGTGTCTTCGGGCCCAGGCCTGGCTGGATCCAGGCAGTGCGGGCACGCAGTCGCCCCCGTGGGCTGGTCGGGCTTCCTCGCAGCATGGAGGCTGGTTCCCAGGGGGAGGGTCCAAGAGAGCAGGGCGAGGGGTGGGCGCCTGGCATTTTTGTGAGTGCCCCGTTAGCCGAGGTGTGGCAGCGGTCTGCCCACCCGCTGTAGACCAGGTAGAGGAAGAACACTACACAGTTACGGCATCTCTGCGGGTCTGCCAGGGTGCAGGTGGCTTGAGGCAGAAATAAGCCATATGCAATGACCCACCAGTAAACCCCGCAGTGTGTCAGTGTCCCCGGTCAGAACAGACTACCCTGAGTCTAGCGACTTAACCCACGTTTACTACGTCCCGCCCGCTGCCCGAGGTCTGAAGTCCTGCAGGCCTTGACCGCCAGCCCCCACCCCCGTCCTGCTCAGGGTCTCCTGGGCAGGTTCCTCGGGGAAGGATGCCTGCAAGCTCAGCTGGTTGCTTGGCAGGGCCGTTTCCCAGAGCCTGAGGAGCCCAGGCCCCGGCTGCCTGGGGGCTGGTGGATGCCCTGGGCTCCCCCGACCCTGTGGCTGCCCCCACTGGGCCGCAGGAGAGCCTTTGGAGGCTTACATCAGCAGGGGACAAAGTCAGCTGGGTTCTGTGCCTGGAAGCAGGTCCCAGGTCCCGCCCTTTCAGAGGGAGCCCCAGGAGCAGGTGAGAGGCCTGCGGGGGGTGTCGGGAGGGGCTGCCGGAGCTTGCTGCTGGCTGTGAGGGGCGCCTGCCACGCCGGCCTGCCGCCGGACAAGCACCAGCCGGCAGGAAGACGCCAGCCCGCCCGCACTTGTCCTAGGCCGCGCGCACTGCCCGGAGCTCCGGGCACTCGATGTTAACGGACGCTTCAGCAGAAAGTGTGGTGCTGCACAGGGTCTGGACGGGTATTTTTGTCCAGTCCCCACTGCTCAGCCCCCCGACAGGGTCCCCCCACCCCCTTCCTGGGCTCAGTGACCGCAGGGCCCGGTGCCCTCCCCACTTAGGGGGCTTATCTGCAGTTAAAATGAGGAGGCTGCTGTGTACCAGGCACACTCTGGGGGGGTGCACACAGCTGGGGGGTGGGGCAGGCACCTCCTTGGGGAAGGGCTTCAGGCTGGGAAGCCCATCCCACCAGCGGCTCTCTCCCAGTCTGCTCCCCCAGCGCCCGGGTGAGGCCAGGCCCAACCCGCCCCAGTCCTCGCCTCCCCCTCCTGCTCCGACATCTGGCACCTCACCTCACCCTGAGACTAAGGAACCCCAGCTTAGAGCTTCAACGGGGACCACGGCTCCGAGGTCTCCAAAGCCCACCCGTCCGGGGCCCAGCCCCTCACCTCCAGCTCAGAGGGTCAGTGAAGTGTCTCCTCCCTGCTGCAGGGTCTGAGCCGGGCCACCAGCCCTGCCACTCTGCTGGCCACATGAACCCAGGCCTCACCTGGACAGACATCCGCGCCCTGGCCACAGCAGGCAGCAGGAGAACCAGCGCGAGGGGCCCAGGGCCGGCCTGCTGCCCTCAGGGGGCTCCCCATCCTGTGCGGCCAATCTCTGGGAGTCCCCATAACCTGCCATGCCAGGGCAGTCCATGGAAGGACATGGGCCTGGGGCCAGAGACGGTAGGCTCCAGGAGATGGGGCAGCCCTTTCCCGGTCTGGAGGAGCCCATGCTGTGCTCTCCGCAAAGGCCAGAGACTCTCTGCCTGGAATGCATGTCCTCAGCCAGCACCTTGATTAGTCTGGGTTGGTGCGGAAGTGACCAGCACCTTCATCCCCGAGGGTCTCTGCTGGCCTGCTCCTGGCACGAGAAGCCCAGAGTGACCAGTGGGCACACTCCGCTCAGAGGAACTGCCCCCCCCACCCCCGGCCTGCCCAGGAGCCCAGGCTCTGACCAGGCAGAACCCCGGGCCGACAAGGTCCCCAGAGGGGTCAACAGGAGTGTGGGGGAGCTGGGCCCGGGCCCAGAACAGGGCAGGCACTGGCCCAGCATCTTGTGCTTCCTGGAGTGCCAGCCCTTCCCGAGCCTTCCCCACTGGCCCACGCGGTCAGACCAGCTGCTTCTGGGCGGTGGGCTTCATGTGGGGCTGCGTGGGGCTGCGTGGGCCGCGTGGCTCCAGAGCAGTCAGGAGACCCTGGCTGAGCTAGAGCGAGGGCCGCGCCGGGAGGGGCCGCCCCCCGGTGGCCGT